TAGACTAGACAGTACTGTCTGACATAGGGTATATTACCCCAATGGACAGAAATTGTATTCAAAAAAAAAAAAAAACTTCAATGGACCCACATTTTTGTGCAACAGAGATTTCTTCAAACTGTCAAAACATTCATCCAGCTGCTCATCATTAGAAAGGATTTGGGAAACAAGGAGGGCTTGAATTGCAGATATTTGTGTTATGTCCTTGGACGACATTGCCCCTGGAGGTACATTGCTGAAGTCATGTGAAAATGCTGGTGGGGCCAAAGTCGATGTATTTGACTGTGAAGTCAAACCGAGGAGATTACGAGTGTGGTACAGGACTAGACCTTCTAATAAACAGTGCATTAGATCGATAATAAGTTGCTGTGAAGGGTCCCAGTATGGTAGATGCCAAAGTTCAGAATATCGTACACCATGAGCTTTAAATAACCTTTCACACTCAGAGGATGCAGCAGCATCTCACCACTGCTCTGCATATTTCCGAAGTTCATTCCTATTGTGAGGTTCCCAATTCTCGTAGTCCACCTTTCTATACGTAGACTTGTGGTAGCAATTGCATGCACTGCAGTAGAAATGACTACTGACTCCAGCCAGAGAAGAGAGATGACGAGCAGCAGGAAGATTGCAAACAACGATGGCAACAGCACTATGAGTTAGCTGACCATTGGGGTAACATGCAGTTTTAGAAAACCTGATACCGCGCTCCCATGTGTCAATCAAATCATTGATGAGCGGTGTAGAGACTCGTGTGTCTCATGGTCTGATATGACAGCTTTACACTAGGAAGTACATAGCATGAACTTGTAGTGTCACTCTGTGCGCTACCCACAGCTATCTCTATATGAGGCGCAGCTTTCCCGTGCAACGCGCGCCATGCGCGCACCATTCCTGCGCTTCACGATGTATGCGCGTGCGCGCGCGTTCCCGCACTTGCGCGCCCTATAGCGCCAGCCATTCAGATGCATCCATCCACTGTCCACCAAGCTTCCTAGTACGTATATTTCCATTTCCTTTATTAGCATAGTTCCACCTTTATTTTTATCATAGTTTCTCACTCATATATATTTTTACATACCTACTCGGTAGCACTTCGGCTCCACATGACCGCGCTTAGGCACGCTATATAAGCGCCAGCAGTACATACTACACTTTACCTTACTTTTACCTCCCAATTACTAGTTATCACCTACTTACTACTTAGCAGAATATAGTAGAAGTCTATTTGTCTATACTTCGCATCTCCCTTCTCTTTTCTTGCATTATATTATCACTTGAGTCTAGTCTTTATCATTTTCCGCATACGCGCGCGCGCTTTCCCGCGCTTCGCGCTAATACGCGCGCGTGTTCCCGCGCCTTGCGTGCACCTGCGCTTTCTCGCGCTTCGCTGAAGCGCGTACCTCTAGATCTTGGCTGCACTCGCTTCCCCTTTAGGGTCAAATGCACTTGTCTCCTCAAGTAACGCAGGCTAGGCAACGCACGACCTTCAACTATTATAGATACAGCTAGGAGCATTATTTGTTCCTCTCTGTATTGTTGTTTCTACAGCGGTTGAATATAGTGATTGAGATTCTCTAGAGATGGCTGCTTTGGTCCTGGAATGATACCTGCAAGATGCATATTCTCCGGCCTATATCTGAGATTCAAAGGCAGATTCAAGCACACCATGGAGATGATTCCACAAGATGTACTAGCTCCCTGGACATTCATTCCTTCCAGATTGAAGAAATCCACATGAAAGGCAAAGGCATAGCATCCTTCCTCTCCTCTGTCGATGAAAAGCATCTCAGGCTGTGGACCACCAAACTGATGGAGGAATTGAGCTTCAAATGGATTTTTTATGAAGGACAGAAGAGGAGAGTTAATAGAGTCCATGAGATCATCGCAAGCTTCATCCATTACGGCTTCCACATCCCTATGAGAGAGGAGACCAAAAAGATAGTCCTTGAAGTTGTGATACAGGAAAATCTTCTTTGGACGAAGTTCACCTTCATTGTCGACAAGTAAAGCCTTGCCACATTCAGTCCTGGGTGCAGGACAATGTGTGCATCATTTAGGGTATCTTGCAATCGTAGAGCCTGGTGCATATGTCGGAGGACAGGTGCAATGACAGGCGCAGACGGCGTACACAATGGTTTTACCAGTGAGATGAAATTTCGCCTCTGCACCTTCCGAGGTCAGGGGAATTTGCTTAAAGATGCTTTCATGTGAGGAGCTAAGACTGCTGTCCGACCTCCGAAACGTGAGGAATAGTATGACGGAAATGATCTTTATGATTAAATCACAACTGCTCCTGCTGACCCCCATGACAACTCTGCATACCACACAAAGGAATAAGATGACTTGGCTGATCTCATCTGAGCGATCAACTGAAGCTTGCTGTAAAGCGTCTATTGAACAGTAAGTAGGGAACCATGGTTGGCAAACTCATTACTCACCGGCATTAATCTCAATGGATCCTTGCAGCGCATCCTGGTGGCTGCCAAACTGAGCAGCCAAGTCATCTATCTGGCTTGTGATTGCCTTCTTTCATGCGATTATAACATCTGCCCCTCCACTGACATTCTCCATAGCTGTGCAAAGCAAATATAGCTCATGACCAACATCATCTAGGCTACAAGAATGCAGCAATAAGTGAAAGCACTGCTGAATCCAGGACTCAATGTTGGCGAGGATATCCAACATCTTCACTGTGCGCTGATTGCATTTCGGCTTTGACAACATCTCTCCAATAGCTGTTTCCATTAACGGGGGTGGCATATGATCTGACAAGTTCAACCACTCGAGGTTATCTGACAAGACAGAGACAGGAACTGCAAGTGGGTTGCACAGTCCCGGGCAATCCAAATTATTGTTCATCGCAGATGTAACTGATGGGGGCTGGGAATTATCCGTGGACAGGGTTAAATGGCCAAAGTCATTGGTAATAGAGGATATGGAGGAGACATTAGCAGATGCAGTGCTCTCTGCCTTGATACGCCAAATGTGAGCCGAGATCGAACATTCTGTTATGAGTACCCCTTTGGGTGCACCTTTCTCATTGTATCCACCCTTTACAATGCACTCCTCACACATGCACCATGTGAGCGCTGCACGGGATGTGGGCATTGAGCAAATAAGGAGTTTTATGGCGATGACAGTATGTACCGTCATCGTCTATAGAGGTGTTCTGAGTCTTGCAGACTGGAAAAAACCTGGGATGAACACTTAAATAGAAGAAGAAAACAAGGGGAAAGTAGAGTGACTTACTACAATAATCGAAAGTACAAATCGACTAGAACAACAGATAACAACATGATCAACACGATCTGACTTCGATAAGAAACAGTAGCAACAATATACAAGGGGCTTACCTACATGGTCGTCATCCTAATACAATGGTGACTAAACATGGACGAGTGATATGAGACACTATAGGACATGGAAGATTGAAGTCAGGATGGTGATAGAATTGAAGTGAGTACATACCAGCCCCACATCTCAAAATTATCCCTCAAATGCGCGTTAGAGATTGATTGAAGTTGAAGTTGAAGTTGAAGTGCGAGGAGTCCGAGGCCAGTCAAAGTATAGCAGACGCAATATCACAGTACAGACTGTCACATCAACCAGTTGAAATCCAGCATACACAACAGTACAAACTGTCGTGCTAAAGGAGGAGAGGATATGAGATAGACACCACAGTACAGACTGTTGCATCAGGTAGAGGTTTGTAAGTATTAATAATAAGTATTAAGCAATAGAAAGACTTGGAGTCAATTCATCGGAAAGTACAAACATTTGCAAATAACATCACATGCAAGGGGCTCAACCTCAATCGACTCAGTCAGCCAAGTACCATACCTTTGAATATCTAGGTCAGTGGTTTGTACTGCTGAGGCCTCTCCTCAACTCATAACCTCTAACTATCATCCTGTCACATGCAATGGTCTGTACCATTGCTCGTCGCATTATCAATCATTTGTTTTCCGCCTGTTGTGTGCAGCGGTCTGTACCGTTACACATTTCCACCCTCCCGAATAGGGATTCATCTCATTCACCCTGTTATATCGCAGATCATGTCGCCAACACCATGCTCACCCATCAGGCAATTATTTTTGGTCTTTGGCAATCCCTTCACTCACCCTGTTATTCACAGATCATGTCACCAACACCATGTTCACCTGTCAGGCGATTCTTTTTGGTCTTCGGTCATCCACCCCATTATCTTGCACATCACATTGCCCACCCTATGCCATCTCGCCCATCAGGCGATTCTTTTTGGTCTTCGGTCATCCCTCCACATGTAATGTGGAAGGATTTACACAACAAACATGAGACAACATTGACATGCTACTGATACATCATTTTACATTACAAGAGAAGGAGATCTTTTCCTGTATCATCATGTCATCTCTGAGCTCTTCTGATATCCTCCTCTCCTGCCTTCACCACCTCAAAAAATACCCTTCTGGCCCCTGGGGAGATATCTTCATGTGTTATCATATCATTAATATCCTCACCTACTTCCTCATATTTGTTTACCTCTTGAATAGCTTCGATGAGTTTTCCTGCCAGTTTGTGTAACATCAATATGTTCTGATGGGCTTCTGGTACATCATTGAATACCATATTACTTTGGTGGAGGTTTTTATCCGAGAAGGCGAACACCTGAGTAGTCGTTGTGTGTTGGGCGAGGTCTCTTGACCATGTTGCCACTGTTTACTGTGAATGTATGAATTTGTTGACTGCTGCTGAGCTACCGCTTGACTTACGAAGTAGTTTGTTACCAAAAAACAGATGATAACCACCAATGCCCCAAAATGAACCAGGATTTTGAACACAAACATAACAACACACGACATAGGCCAGGAATCTCCAGAGGTCAGAGTTTCCTTCACTGTGCCATATTCATAGACCCATATGTTGATCATAGCCTTTCCACAGCCTGGCACCAATGAAGCACTGGCGACTGTACAGCACCCATTAAGATCATGCATCTTGGGAGATAATCAGTACCTATCCTACACTTTGAATTCGACACCTACTGCAATTGTCTGCACCAAGTCTGTATTGGAGTGGCAGAGAGTTTCGAATAACTTCCCTGATTTTCTCTCGAATACATACACTAATCCATGGTCACTCCCCCTGACAATCAACCTTCCTTCTGCCCTGAATGCCACCTGCTTGGGGACAGATACACTTTGAGCAGCAGTCATGAACATTCGAACTGGTTCCTCATCACCTTCAAGTCGATACAAAGTGAAACCATCAGTGGCATTGTCCACTACATACACGCCCCTCTTCTGGTTGACTGCTGCATGTCCGCTGAAAGAAGGTCAGGAATACATCTTGATGATATGTCATAGACTCTTACATAACTGATTGGCAGCTGTATTCCTTTACCACTGCGCCGTCATCACCTCTCACCTTGATGAAGTTCCCATCATATAGTCCGAAGACATAGACACATCCATTCTCTGCAAATGCTACAGACTTGGGCACTGAATTGTTGAGTTGCACCAAAAACACAGCCTGCAGCTGTGAATTCATATTGAGAATGAGGACCTGGACTATTTTGTCCCTCATTCCCACTGCAATCCATGTATTCACTTCAGAGGATGTCAAATTTCATGCCATACATGTAATTTCGAAGCCTGATCCAAGCCTCCTGGCACAAATCTCCTGAAACTGCATCTGTTAGGTGTTAACCGAAGGTTTGATGATGAGACCAGGATCCTCCTACATCTACATGGCTACATCGCAAGAATACAATGTAGCCCCAGCCCAGTTCCATAACAAAGGGTTTCTGTCATGCCCAGTCTTGTTGTGACCCAGACAGCGCAGCTGACTGTGCCTCGGGACTCATGGTGATGAGTCAAGCATGTAAGTTCTTTCTGAGATTTGATATCCCAGAGTTTGACGCCCTCAGTCCCTGCTTGTTGTTAGGACCCTCCCATAACAAAGTGTGCGTGTCAGTTTACCTCTGCATGCAAGAGCTTGACCATCATTAGATATTGCAAGGGTGTAAATAGACCCGCCATAGGTAGAAAGGTGCGTTTGATGTCAGAAGTGTTGCTTTGATTTTGTGAAGAGTGATGAGGCAAAAAGAGACATTGTTGCATGCGCGATCTGATCGATTGTAGTCACCAGTTCACCTGCTCACCACTACTTATATTAGGTTCCCATTTGTTTTCACAAACTTTTTGGTGATTTCATGACAATCAATTTGCTAGCCATTTGTTCGAGTTGTTCCCAACCTTTGTGTTCATCCTTTTTGTGAGTGTGCATATCACTTCACTTCACATAACAATCTATTATATTTTAGATCCCTCCTAAGCCCTTCTTGTCCTTATTGTTTAATTCTCTATATAGTAAGTTACGTTGGATGTGTCATAGGTCATAAATCTCAGAGATTATTACAGTTTATACCCAATATCTTGACCCGCACTTGTCCCCCACCCACATCGCCATAACCACATCATGCTCAACACAACTAATACTGTCTCTGCTTTTTATGATCAGGAGCCTGGCGCTCCGCCTCCCTTCCCTCCTATGCTCACAGACCAGCTGGAAGTATTTGGAAGTGCTCACCACCACTCAACTACACTTGTTTCCGATGAGATTCTTCCTCCCAGAATCAGCACTGTCAATCCTTGGAAGGACACATCGCCATACCAGAAAAAAGTTTTATTCAAGTGTTCACGTTCCCACTCTCAGATGCCCATGCCCTCAGATTGTTCAGGTTCATTAGATTCAGCATCAGACAGTGGCTCCTCATCTTCGACTGAGAGCCTATCAGAAGATTCAAAAATACCAAAGCCCCCTGGTGAACCTGGTCGTCCGGGGCATGGCAGATACACACTCCATGAGGCTTTAGACTGGAATCCAAAGGCATATGCTAAGTTCAGGGTGAGTGACATGCTCTCACCACAGTATGTTATTTGCTCATGAGCACTAAGAAATATATGCACCACCTCATTGAGGAACATCTCGATACAACCAAGTGCGCTTCTTCCCAAAGTCACACACTCCTAAAAATTGTGCGTGATAAGGTGAGTAACTACACATGGCAGTTGTCCTAAAATTCATTATTCGTCAGGCTGTCGATGCTTTCCTGGACTTGGACAATTACAGTGGCTTCTGGCTGCTGAATGATATTATCATGATGCATTTGAAATACACATCAGGTCGTGCTAGGCAGAAGGAAGTAAGGATGGCTGCGGGCAAGTCAAAGTCCAAGAGCAAGCAAGATTCGTCGAAAGAGGTACCATTCAAATAACTCGTATAACTCGTGTATCTTCAATCTAGTAGTATATCAATTCCATACCAAACTCATTCTGCATTTGAGCTGGGCAGTAACAGGCGCGCTTATCTGTGGCACTGGAGGTCTGGACCTCTGCTGAATGTGAGGTAATACATGATGTTCCCTTGTTTGTTACAACTTGTTTAAGCTTTCTGACGAAGTTTCACTTGATAATTAAGCCTATTCTATCTTCAATCCTCAATCCTCATGGTACAAATTGCAGTGACAAGAATGATGCCATCACAGCGAACTTCATAATGTGTTACATACAAATCATTATATATTACTCCCAACTAAACTACCTCACTGCTGATGATCCTAGAAGCCAGCCGGTGATTGACCTGAGTGCTCAAGGGCTTCACGACGGTGAGAGTATGTGGGAGCTTTGCTTGAGGATGATGTTTAATGCTCTGTATAAAGCTGATGGATTATTGATCAACAAGGATTGGAATCACCATCTGGTGATGCTTACCGATGCATGATGAAGTCTGTGAGTGAACTGTCCCTGCCTCGCATATTCACAACAGAGCTGTCAGTAGCACCAACCCTCATAATGACTGCGTCACCTTGGAATATATGGTCAATGCTGCTGAGAAGTGGATTGGCTCTTAGATGGTAGTGTTGCTTGAAGTAAACATAAAACTGATATGTGTGTCTTCCTTCATGCTGGGTGACAAGACAGTTGTGCATGCAAGGCTGCACAGTTGCACAATCAAGGAGGCTTTCGGGAACAGGAAAGCACTTCCCGCTGCATGAGTGATCAGAGCATCTTGTCAACATAGCAACCTGGCAAGGTTTACTCCACAAGGAAGAATATAACCTACACTGCAAATGAAGTTCAGCAGTCTATGTATAACTGTCAGCAAAAATCAAGAGAAGCGAGAATATAGCCTATGGATGATGTGGGGAAGATATAAATGCAAGTGTTGACCATTGCAGCATAGGATAAATGAAATTAAGTGATGAGTATAGGTGACCAGTGCTGAGGACAAGGAATGAGCAGGAAATTTGAAAGCAGGCAATGAAAGTGGGCAATGAAAGTGGGCGATCTTATAGTAGTTTTTGAGTACTTACCTTTGAATTGAGTGTGGTCTGTACAGAGTGCAGATCATCCCAAAGAATTGATAAACTGATTAACATACCGATTAACATGTCTATTGTCTTTATTTGTTTCATGGAATATGGGACCAGAACAATAACATGCAAGAGCTTTTTGAACTCTTTTGTGTACTTAGACTTGTACATTAATTTTGCATTTACGACACGATTAACACCAAAGTGGAACACCCGAAATGATGGCGCTATCACAGAAAGGGCCTAAAAATAGGGATAATACAATGTCGTCATTAGGGTGAAATGACAGTGACTGAAAAGTACGGATCATGCGATGTCTAAGAATAATAGCGGGCATACATAAGTAGATCCATGCCTAGATCCATGCCAAACTCCAAGAAACCCCAAAGACAATGTCCACTCCCATTGCCATGTCGAAAACACAGCGCCATATTCTCATGGAGAACATACAGACAGCAAGTGATGTGGACTTGTTTGACGACGAAATGGAAGACACTGAGAGTTGGATGGACCTTGAAGAGCCCTCAAATGAGGCTGCAGGCCAGCCATCGACTGTGTCGAATGAGGCTGCATGCCAGCCATCGACTGCGATGACTTGGTTGGATGAGAGTGGGACCCCTCGGATGAACCTAGACTTGAACAATGTCACAAGCCAGCCCCAAACAATGACAGCTCCGCTTGACAAGAGGGCAAAGCGAGTTGCTGAATCAGTAAGTATAGGTGATATTGATTGGAGGCCAATGTTGAACTTAATTTTGTCAGGTACTACCTGACAAATGTCGCATCAAAGAAGTCGACTACTCAGAAACACTATGCAGAACTGTGTACAGTCAAAAGGAACTAATCAGCAATATGAAAACGGTCTGTAGTATCACTGGACATACATTATCGATATCTGACATGCGGCTGCTATAGGAAGTGGAAAAACAACAAGTAGAAGATGTCCAGAATATAAACGAGATGAAATGACAGTGGCAAACAACTCTGAGAGAGCGGGAGGAGCAGCTAACAAAGGCCCAGGAGGAAATTGAGGTAATTCCTGCTGCAGGGTGACCACCAGACATACACTCATAACCATGACAGAGGAGCCGTGTCCAGCAGCAGCAATTCGAAGAACATATCAGAGAAACTCAGGAAGCACTCGGTCAGGTTAATCACAAAGCAATGGAGGCCACTATGCAGAAATTCCATGAGGACACTTGCAACCACTTGGTACAAGAACAGACACGACAACAAGCAGAGCTGGATCAAAAATTGCAAAACCTGGTCCAACGCAAGGAAGAGTTGAAGAAGAAAACAAATGAAGAGGTGAGACAAATGTTCCAATGGGAAAACAGTTTATAACAATGAACAGTTGACACAAGAACAGATGCAGCGAGAAGCGGAGCTGTGTGAAAAACTGGTCCGGCATGAGGACGAGTTAAAGAGGAAGACAGACGAAGAGGTGAGGTTGATAACAATAAACAGTTCCGAGAGTGTGAGAATGCGATACTCGCTGAGATGGACCAGAGGTTACAGCAAGAAGTGCTCAAGTTGAAGGCAAGAACATGTTTCATATACAGATGAAATATATACTGAAATGCTCACCAGGCAGAAAAAGAGAGCAAGCTTGCCAAGATGGAATGGAGATTTTCCACACGTCACAGGTTTCAGAGTGAGGATGTAGAGATGGACAACAACCCCACTATGCCGAGAGATGCGGGAAAACCATCATCTCCATATGCAAAACCACGATCGGGTGCCACATGCCTTGATGTGATCAAGAGAATACAGAAAAATCACAGAATATCACACAAGGTTCGCCTTGTATCAGTAGCAGCGGAGGTAAGTGTCTGATGTCGTTGACTGCAATCTAAACTTACACAGTAATAGGTGGACGAAGAGGAAGTACCTCAAGAACACTCATCTGAACAAGAGCCACCACCACACAACATACCTTCTGCTACCACAATGGAAAGCGCGATTGCGAGAGGCATAGAAGCCGCATTAAGACGTGTTCTGATTGACAAAGAGTTGCCAGTCACCAAAAGGCACAGTCCCTGGAGGAGAAATATAGAGGAGAAAGAACTCCAGCAAGAGAAGGTGGCTGAGAAAAGCTATGAAAGAGACTTCCTTTTGGTAAGCCAAAAGGTGGTATAAAAGCTGGGACTTACAATGATATATAAGGGGAAGTGTGGCGGCTCTTCAAAGACGTTTTCAACATTTCGCAAGACACCGACTTCATACTCCATCAGGCAGCTAGTCGTGAGGATGTGTACTCATATGAGTACGAAGACAGCCCAGGTCCCAATTGCAAAGCTCTTGCTTTTGACCTCAAACATGGGGCCAAAAGCCCCTGGAACAATAAAGTCATTAGACTACTCCTTGAAGAATTGCAGAGAAGGGGTGACGAAGAGAACTGGCCATTCCGAAGGTCAGATGTATATTTCAGGGAAGTTCTTCAAGTTCAATATAAGTGCCTGTGTATGGTCTGGATGGCTGCACAACCCAAGGTTACAGCAAAGGGCATATTGGAGACTCTTGCAGAGGTAGAGCAGAGGCTGATCACGAAGAAGGATGAGTCATTAAAAGCGACTCATCAAACAACACGTCAGAAAAATGTATGTTTGCGAGCTCCATATAATTCTGGTACTGATGCCTTGTCAGAAATATCTTCGTAGAGTGATGGTTCTGGATCATCTCGTCAATCACAAGGCCGACGAGAACGAGGAGGACCTTCCAGCCTGGCAGTGGCTTCAGCAACTCATCAGGATGTTAGGAGAAGACAGCATCAGTTCAGAGGAGAGTGATGTTGAAAATGATATTGAAATGGTTCTTCATGTCAAGAATATGACTTGGCGTCGTGCAATCGAACAGGAATTGGATATCATTGATCACCAAAGAATTGTGGATGATGCCATTTTTGCTCCCCAAGGTTCAAAGCCTATGAAACAGATATGATCAGCCAGCAATCCAACAACATCCAGGGTAGAAGTGGATGGATTATCTAAAGCATTGTATGATGAGGATTGGCTTGCAGGTTTAACAAAGCATCAAGTCGAGGGGTTATCAATCTCGGATGGAAGATTCAAGTGGATGAGAGTCACAGTAGTGTAGTGCAGTATTGGACAGCTTGTATTTCTAGAGATATTGAACAGCACGAAAGTTGAAGGTGTGTAGATAACAGCGCTGTGCGAGGAAATTAAAGCCAGCATGGCAATGGAATCAAGGTCTGTCATCACCTATGAATCTGTTCTGAGTCTTTGCAGACACACGACGAGATTGAGATCAGGATGGCGATAGGATTAAAGTGAGTACATACCAGTGTCATGTCTCAAACTGAGGCTCCGAATTCGAGTTAGGGATCAATTGAAGTTGGAGCATGTAAAGTCCAGGACAATAAATCCAGTTGGAGTCCGGCAAACACGACAGTACAAACCGTTGTGTTAGAGGAGGAGAGGATAAGGGACAGATGCAACAGTACAGACCATTGCGTCAGAGTTGGGTATAAGCAATATGAGGGCAAGAAAGACTTGTGAGTTAATCTGTCAGAAGTACAAATACCTGCAAATAAAGTCACGTGCAAAGTCAACCTTGACTGTGTAGTAACAGTACCATACCTCCTAACTACTCAGCAGTCTGTACTGCTGAACTGGTTCTGCTATTGTTGCAGAGTTCTATAACATGCAATAGTCTGTACTGTTGCTCATTGAATTCTCTTGATCCTGTCCTTGTGCAATGGTTTGTATCATTGCACGTTTTCTTCCATCACCTCCTCCAGGTTTCCAGGCACTATGCCAGATATGGTGCCTCCCAAGCTTCATGTATTCGTGCATGACTTCCTTCCACGATCCCTCCTATTCTTTGACCCTGGAATTCCTACCTCGAGTCTGATTCTTCCTCTGACAATATCAAAGATGCACTGACCATGCAGTGGGCTTATGAGACACGCCCATGGTTTCCCCTTATTGCAGCAAAGCCTCATTTTGACGGCACTGTTTTTTCCTGCCTAAACCATTCACTCTACTGTTTGCCCATAGAGTGTACACCCGATGGCCATTATATCTTGTGCAGAAATGTCCAGCAAGAATGGGAGAGTCTGGAGCAGAAGCTACTCTGGTGCCAGCAAAGGTTAGCCATAAATATGCACTTTCCTTGGTATGGTCAGGCCCCAAGACCTCCAAGAGACTATGGGTACCTGAGGTCCCATGTCAATGCAAAGCTTGCAAAGAAAGTTGCTCTGAGGTCTTGCGATGCGTTCTTAGGTATGGTGTTCAGCTGTATGCACTGATAATGGCTGATTGCATTTTTTTTAGGCATCTCAGCTCTTTGCACGTACTTCATTATGGCTCGTCGATATCGACCCCATGATGATTCCTCCAGTTGGACTTCTCTCTTAACAAACGACCCTCAATGTCCTATCTTATCCGCATGGGTGATGGAACTCTCTCGCACATTTGTTGAGGAGCCCCTTCAGTAACACATTCCATATTATATGGGCCAGTGGATTATGGGCCCATGTTGTGTATATTCTCGATGATGACAGATGGGCCAGGACACATATTATTTCCGATGGAGATGGGTGGGCCCATGTATGCCAATGATATATACATATATCCTTGATGTTGAGGGATGGGCTGGGGGAATGTGATCATTCATGGAGATGGGTGGGCCCATCTGGGTGATATGTAGAGTAGGATATTATAGACAGCGCTGAAGAGAGATGTAAGGCAAATATTGTTATATAGATGAGCGGGCCGACAGGGGTGTACTACATATATGAGTGGGCCTGAGGTAGGGGAATATTACATAGATGGGTGGGCTGACGTGGGGTGTATTACATATACAGGTGGGCCGACATAGAAAGTATTACATATACGAGTGGGCCTGAGGGTGCGATAAAATATTTATTACATAGACAGGTGGGCCAAGGTGGGGTATAATTATATAGATGGGTGGGCCAATGTCGGATGTATTATATAGATGGGTGGGCCAACATAGGATGTATTACATAGACGGGTGGGCTGACGTGGGGGAATTGTACATAGATGGGTACATATATGGGTGAGCCTAGATACATTTCATCAAGACATACAGCTGATGTAGCCACCAGCAAATCAAAGACCTAGGATACATGTACACTATGAGTGCATATACCTACCATCAACCACCAAATCTAAAGCCCTCAGGGTTTTGGGAGTGCCAAGTCCCAAAACCCAGAGTCCCAAAACCCAGAAATTGAAACTCAGGACTTGACATTTGATGAGACATCTTTCAAAAATGTTTAAATCAACCTTTCATATATCCATACACATTTTACCAATCCCCAAACCCCGAAATTGTGGGATGCTGGGTTTCGGGGTTCGGGGGTCCCAGAACTTGGAACTTGGGAAATTTGGAGAGATCAATAAAGTTTGATTTACAATCAAGTTGATTGACGAACACATTGACTTACCCATGGTTGAAATATATTTTTGTTGTCTCACATAAGTTCTGAGTTCCAGGACCCCCAAACCCGGCAGTCCACAATTTAGGGGTTCGGGGGTTGGTAAAACTGTGTATGGATATATGAAAGGTTGATTTAATCATTTTTGAAAGATGTCTCATCAAATGTCAAGTCCCAAGTTTTGAATTCCGGGTTTCGGGACTCCGGCCTTCGGGACTCAGCACTCCCAAAACCCAGAAATTGAGACTTGGGACTTGACATTTGATATGCAACATCTTTCAAAAATGATTAAATCAACCTTCCATATATCCATACACATTTTACCAACCCCTGAACCCCGAAATTGTGGACTGCCAGGTTTTGGGGTTCAGGGGTCCCGGAACTCAGAACTCGGGATGTGAGACAACAAAAATATATTTCAGGGCTTGGGGGTTAGTAAAATGTTTATAGATATAGGTAGGTTCATATAAACATGTCTGAAAAATGTCGTTCATCTCAAATGTCAAATCCTGAGTTCCATGTTTCGGGATTCAGCACCTGGCATCTGGCACCTGGCACTTGGGGTTCAGCACTGAAAATTTGACAACTCTGGGTTTCAGGACTCTGGGCTTCGGCACTTGGCACTCCCAAAACCTGGAAATCGAAACTTGGGACTTGACATTTGATATGCAACATCTTTCAAAAATGATTACAGCTGTTTTGATATATGATGGCAGTGGCATCATTTTTTTTGTAAATTACACAAAATATGATTTAGTAGTGAATAGCCTCTGCCGCATCATGGCGTTCCGCAAGATAAGTGATGACGTCAAACAAGCAGCCATCCGTCTTTATGAACACAACTTACTGAACCTCCAGGACATTCTCGACTGCTGCAGGTTCTCACAACAGGACATGGTACTGTGTCTTGAGGCTGTGGAGAGACACTGGTGATGTCACCAATCACCCGAGGGGAGTTTGTGGCCGCATGCATCGTCTGGAACGCGAAGACATTGAATATCTCCTAGAACTTGTTCATGACAACCCCGACTACTTCCTTGACGAGCTCGTCAGCCTCGCGAGAACCAACCACTTCATATCTATTCATTTCACCACTGTCTTCAATGAACTTGAATGTGCTGGTATGAGCCGAAAGAAACTAAAATGTATTGCTTCGGAACGCAATGAAGAACTCTGTGCTGCATTTGTAGCTCACATGTCTCAATATGATGCTACAGAAATAGGGTTCATTGACAAAGTCTCAAAAGACGAGCGGACACTCGGACGGCATTATGGGCGCTCATCGAGAGGAAAACGGGCACATGCACATCAACCCTTTGTCCGTGGGCATCGTGTCAGCTTGGAAGCACTGTTGACTCTTGATGGCATTGTCGCATGCACTGCTGTCGAGGGTTCTATGACAAAAGAGCTCTTTCTCAAGTGGCTGGAATTCACTGTTGTGAGTTATCAAGCTACATTCTTGGACATCTGACGAGTCTGATAACCTTCTAGTTACCGAAGTGTTCTGCATATCCAGGCCCATTGAGTGTCCTTGTGATGGACAACACTTCAATTCACCATGGTGCCAATGTTCTTGAACTTGCAGACCGTTTTGGTCAGTCTATTTGTGATTTCCTCTCGTTCCTACAATGATTATCATGATGGGATGCATATACCAGGTGTTCGCATTGAATTCCTTTTGCCATACTCCCCCGGTCTCAATCCCATCGAAGAAGCTTTTTCGAAGATCAAGCATTTCCTTTGTCGTCACCACGAATACTATAGTACAACCACAGATGATGGAATCCTTTACGATATGTACGAGATTGCTGATATCATTACACTGGATGATGCCCATGGTTATTTTGTACATGCTGGATACTTTTGATGCTAGGTTACAGAACAATGACTTGCAGCATTGAAAGCAACTCGAGTAACAGTTCTTATCGTACAATACAATGTCCAATCATGCCATACTAGTAGGAATAGACCACCTCTCAACAGCATCGCATAATGCAGCTATCTCACCAAACTTGAACTCCATCTCCTTGAGGTCTGAAAAGGTCACGTAAGCGCGCTTCTTTGAATGAATGAGAAGCAATTTTCGTAGCGATGCTGTCGTCAAGCTGGTACAGGGCACAGAAGGCCACAATGGATATGTCATTGCCAGGCTTACGCAATGGGAGAACGAGCAAAGATGTGGAGATTGGCGCTGGCCCAATTTCTGAGGTTGTTGTGTTCAGAGCTGTGTGGTTCGACTTGAAAAGACTTGCAAACTCATTGCCGAATGTGACGTTGACAACAGGAGTTGAAGATGCAGGTTCTGTCACTGTCTTGGCCTGTGCATCGAGTCAGCGCTGTAAGACTGGGCTGATGGCCTTCAGATTGAAGAGTCAGTGGTTTGGGGGCTTATCAATCGTTGCATTGCTCACCTCCTTACACTGCTCAAAATCAGTATCACGACTACACGTGAAACACCAGAGAGGAAATATCAACCATTGCAGAAGCCCAGCAGTTGAGCTGCTGATGTCCGAGTGGAAAGTGTTCTTCAGATCCAGGAATCACATAACAATGGGTTGATGCACAGGCAGAATCAGTCTTTTTGCAGATCCAGCGATCTCGTAAAAGCTGAATGTTTGCTACTTTCTTTTCGTTTCCTGGAAGAATCGCAGCTGACTCTTTCTGTGCAAAAATCATGAAATAATTATCTATAAGGTTATTGAATACATACTCATTTCTTCGTCTTGGACTTTGCAAGCTCTGATTCATCCTCGCCCTGGTTTTCGTTGTTTTTGCTAGCCAGCTGTGTTTGGATAACATTGATGTTGACAGTCAGAGCCTTCACAGCCATTCCATCGACCCGTTTCATCATACCATTGTAGTCAGCCTCAGTCAAGAGAGATAAGCCAGGTTTAGGTAGAACCTGAGAGATGTGATAGGTAAGCGAGTAGTCGTCGAAATGGAGCATGCGGGGATTGATTGCTGTTGAGATCTTCACAAGAATCTGTGCTTTGAGAGTGTCCCATGGTTCATTAGTGCGAAGGTCAATGGATGTGTTGACTGGCTCCCATTTGCTCTTGGCCTTCTTCATTTCACTAGCCGAGAGGATAGAGACCATGTATGAGATATCCCTTGTGACAGGAGTAGTAGGTTCATCATTCTTATCTGTTAGGGATCCGAGTCAGCACAAAACACTGACTATATGCGTCGACTTACCTCGTTTTCGTTTCTTTGACACTGTTGGAGAGGGGATAGGAATCTTTGGTGGTACAAGAGGGCCTGTAGCAGAGTCTAGTACTTCAAGTTCTTGTGATTCGTCATTGTCGGTATCTGTTTGATCAGCATTGGGATCGTCGTTGACTTCCATGAGTTCCAGCTCATCGAGAGCATCAAGAATAGTATTGTGATGGTGTGTCATTTGCAAGTTGCTATTGGTATCATCATCGAGACTGTTGAAACTGTTCTGTGTCGCGAGCATGAGACGTTTGTGCATTGAGTATGAGTCAAGCACTGATATGATCAGTCAAATTTGTTCTAAGTCCTAATTCGTGTAGTTGACAAAAAAAATGACATCACTGCCATCATATATTAAAACAGCTGTAAATCAACCTTCCATATATCCATACACATTTTACCAACCCCCGAACCCCAAAATTGTGGACTGCTGGGTTTCGGGTTTGGGGGTCCCGGAACTCAGGACTCGATATGTGGGACTGGACAAAGATATCTGTCAGGGTTTGGGGGTTAGTAAAATGTTTATGGATATATGTAGGCTGATTCAAACATGTCTGAAAAATGTGTTTCATTTCAAATGTCAAGTCCTGAGTTCTGGGTTTCGGGACTTGGCACCCAGCACCCAGCACTTGGGGTTCGGCACTGTGAAAATTTGACATTCGGGTGTTAGAGTGTTCGGGTTTCAGGTGATATCTACCTCAATCTACAGTTTCGAGTTCTGGATATTGGGACTCAATGATTGAATCATTCAATTGTGGCATAGGTAACATGCATTGAAAAAGATTTATGTACATCTATCACTGAGCAATTATGTAGCCATTTCAACCTCCTCACCAGGACGATCAACCTTCACCTCAACATCCATCTCCTCATCAGAAGAATCATATTCTGGCAGGAGGTTGCCTGGTTCATCTGGGACCACAATTTCACCGGAAAGCCTGAGACCTGAAAATATGTATGCAACATTCCCATTTTTCACTTGTTGCACAAATCACCGAGTTTCAAGTGCAGAACCCCGAAACTCAAAACCGGGTGTGCAACATGTTCATTGTTCATTTACATTACACAGATCATTGAGTGCTGAGGGCTGAATCCTGAAACCCAAAGCCTGAAAACATGTATGCCACATGCCCATCTACTCATTGCACAAATTACCAAGTGTCAAGTGCCGAAACACGGTACTTCAAATGGACATGAATTCTATATTTGTATGTATTACCCATTGGTGTAGGGTTCAAATAACTTGGGAATTGTATTTGTCAGTGCTCGGTACTCGGTACTCGGTAGTTGGTGGTTGGTGGTTGGTGGTTGGTGGTTGGTAGTCAATATAGGCAAATGATAATGAAAAATGAAAGTTGTTATTACACTTAACTTCCTTACCAAAGGTTGTAGTCCAAGTCTATGGGAGTGTATTGGTAGTCTTTTCTTGTCCATCAGTTATCATTTGACCGAGATATAAGCTAAAGAAATCTGAAACATCAGCGATAATGAAAAATGAAAGTTATTTGTAATGATATTTTTGGCCTGAATCATATATAAATGTGACTTTGTATAAAAGATGTCTATTGTCACTCTCCACACATATGTCATTTTGCCTATCATTACATCAATCCTTCATGAATCTTTCTAAGCTTTTAAGCTATTATAATGGATGTATATGGGTGTTATTCCAGGTCTCTGATCACATCACAGGCTTGTTATGTTGTATATCTCGACATAATGTGCAAGTCTCACTATTAATATTCATTCTTTTATCTCTAGACTCACTTACTGCACACATGTATTTCATTTGTCATTATTGATGTTTTGGATTTCTTTAGCTTATATCTTGGTCACATGGTAACCAATGGACGAGAAAAGACTACAAATAAACTCACCTAGACTCGGACTACAACTTTCATTAAGCTGACTACTGATTCCTGGATACCGAGTATCAAAACCAAATACTGAGTACCAATTACCATGTACCGAGTACTGCGTAATGAGTAACAAGATAACCAATTGACAAGAAAAGACTACCACTACACTCACCTGGACTTGGACTACAACCTTCAGTAAGGAAGTTAAGCATAATAACAACTTTCATTTTTTCATTATTGTTGATGTTTTGCCGAATGACAAGGAAAGACTACCAAGACACTCACCTTGACATGGACTACAACTGTCATTTTTCATTATCATTTGCCTATATTGACTACCAAGTCTTAAGTACCGACCACTGACCACCAATCACCAATCACCGAGTACCAAGTACTGAGTACTGAGTACTGACAAATACAATTCCCAAGTTATTTGAGCCCTACACCAATGGATAATACATACAAATACAATTTGTGTCCATTTGAAGTACCGGGTTTCAGGTTTCAACACTCGACACTTGGTGATTTGTGCAATGAGTGAAAAATGGACATGTTGTGTACATGATTTTGGGTTTTGGGCTTCAGGTCTCGGCCCTCGGCCCTCAGAACTCGATGATTTGTGTAATGTAAATGAAAAATCAACATGTTGCACGCCAGGTTTCGAGTTTCAGGTTTCAGCACTCAAAACTCGGTGATTTGTGCAGCAGTGAGTGAAAAATGGACATGTTGTGCACATATTTTCGGGATTCGTGGTTCGGCCCTCGGAACTCGATGACTTGTGTAATATAATTGAACAATGGACATGTTGCACACCTGATTCTGAGTTTCGGGTTTCGGCACTTGAAACTCAGTGATTTGTGCAACAAGTGAAAAATGGAAATGTTGCATACATATTTTCGGTTCTTGGGCTTCAGGTTTCGGCCCTCGGCACTTAGAACTCAATGATTTGTGTGATATAAATGAAAAATCAACATGTTGCACACCGGGTTTCCAGTTTCATGCTTTGGCACTCAAAACTCGGTGATTTGTGCAGTGAGTGAAAAATGGACATGTTGTGTACACATTTTTGGGGTTTGGGGTTCGTATTTCGGCTCTCAGCTCTCGATGACTTGTGTAATATAATTGAACAATGGACATGATGCACACTGGGTTTCAAGTTTCGGGTTTTGGCACTCGAAACTTAGTGATATGTGCAATGAGTAAGAAATGGACATGTTCCATACATATTTTCGGGTTTTGGGCTTCATGTTTCAGCACTCAGCACTCGGAACTCGATGATCTGTGTAATGTAAATGAACAATCGACGTGTTGCACACTGGGTTGTGAGTTTTGGGTTTCAGCACTCGAAACTTGGTGATTTGTGCAGTGGGTGAAAATGGACATGTTGAACAATGGGTTTCAGGGTCGCGGGTTTGAAAAATAGCATAATAACAACTTTCATGTTTTCATTATCATTTGCCTATATTGACTACCAAGTCTGATAAGGAACCCCTTGGATGATCCATTGCTCAATGAAATACTACCTGATTGGAAGTGTGCTGGTTATCAGATATTCATTTGTTGACTCCTGGGTCCTGGAACTCAGAAGTTGGTACGGTTGACCCAAATTTGGGTGGTCGGAACTTGGCGTCTCATAGGGCAACACAAGCTTCACACCCCGGATTCCAAATTCTGCAAGACAACCTGTGCACCATCAAAGGCCATGTCAGGAGATCACCTGCTGCTCTGGGAACTCGGTAACTTTAATTTATTACCTCCTCTGAGTACGGTTAACCCAAAGGTTGGTAATCGGAACTTGGCTTCTCATAGGGCAACACAAGCTTCACACCCCAGATTCCAAAATTTGCAAGACAATCTGTGCACCATCAAAGGCCACGTCAGGAGATCACCTGCTGCTCCAGGAACTTGGTAACTTTGACTTATTATCTCCTCTGATTTGGTTGATGTACAACTACCTCAGCTCCATCATGTCTACAATTATGATACACATGGGCCCACCCATCTATATTTTATACCACCCTCGGCCCACCCATCTAATACAACATCCCATACAACACCCTCAGCCCACCCATCTAATACAATATTTTATAATACCCTCGGCCCACCCGTCTAATTTAATATGTGTCTGGGCTCACCTGTGAATGTGATAACAAGTACCTACCCATCTATCTCATACACATCTACCTTAATACACCCATCTGCATAATATCCAACTACCTCGGCCCACCTGTCTACCTAATATTCATGTACATCGGCCCACTCATCTACTCTATATATTCCCTGCATGGGCCCACCCGCCTCCATCGGGAATAATTTGCCCATCCGTCATAGTCGAGGGAGGATATTTTTATCATGGGCCCATGGTCCGCTGGCCCATATCATGTCAATATTATATTGTCGAGCCCTGCGACTCCCCCAATCATGTCATTTGGACTTTGGCTGTCCTCAACCCCGTTACTGCTGTAATGTGCCTGCGTCGTAATTGGGGTTCAGACATAAAACAGGTTGCGTTAGCTTTGCTCAAAAGAGGCATCACATTCAGGATCTTACAGCAAATGACTGTTGCGCCTAACTGGCGACACCCCCTCTCAGAACTTCGTACTTATACATTGGGACATCGACGACCCCCTTTCAATCCCCCGTACACTGATTACATTGTGTATGAACAGCTATGTCATGAGTTTATGAATTGCCCCCAGGCGAGGGCTGCATTTCTGCACGGGGGACTCATATGGCGGTTGGCTTTGCACAGCCTGGGTGTCGACCATCTTCCATCTGTCCTTGACTGGTATATCAACTGAAGCTGTTCCATTTGGCAAACTATTGGTTGGCAATAGTGGTCAGACTTACTATGACGATGGGTTGTTGTTGGAGGAAATTGATTTTATGTGCAGAACATACTACATAGACCACCGTAAGCTTGCTACCGTTCAGTCCCATCAGTACTAATAATCATACTTTCTAGGTGATGGCTCAGAGGTAGTTTCATGGTGGCCTCAGCCCAACACTTGGAATGTGTCAGGCTTGAACATTGGTTTTTGGTCCGCTCGGTGGGAGGACTGGTTCCAAGTATGTCTTGGCAACCTTCAAGAAGGGGTTTCCCGCATGCGTCATTCGCTCACCAAGGACACCAATGGTCCAATGACCTCCACGCAATGGAAACGCTCCCTCAAATTTCAACCTGCCACCAATAAGATCATGCGCAACACTTCAGCAGCATCTTATGATTTCATGACAAAAATACCAGGTAAGAGTTTCCTTACTCCTGTCATATTCATGCTCACGAGTTTTACATAGTTTGGAGTCAGACATAGTTTTACATTACTGTATATAAATGAAGATATTTTTTGCCCATTTCAGTCTGATCGCCATTAATGCTTGTTGTGGGTGGTGAGTGGACTATGATAGAGCAATGAGTGGGCAATGAGCAGGCGACGATCGGGCAATTTATTTCATCCAAGGGCGAAACTTAAAGTTTTGCTATCACATTTTGTTGCCGGTGTAAACTTCAAATTTTGAGCATTCCCTAATTGTTGGACAAAACTTGAAGCATTAGCAAGCATATAGCCGTAGATTAGACTTCAAGTTTCATCTGAAGTTTTATGTGATAATTAAATTTAAAACTCAAGCAGACACTAAAAATCTGACTATATTTCTTATTTGCATTGACATATAGTCAACGAAACAATAGCGGTGGATATTTCATGTTTGGGATTTCGCACACAAAGTTGACTAAATTTGAAGTTATATGCCCCTCTTTATGTCAGTTCAAACTTCAAATATTTTCTTCACATTTTGTACACCGTATAAACCCGTCCTAAATATCGATAACCCTGATGTGTGCAGCCACTCAACGAGAATGCCCAAACTCATCATCAATAATCTCGGTAGCTACTTCATCATCCAACTCGCTTTCATTATCTGATACCTTGGCTATATCACTGTCTATGAGACTGAATGACAATGCTCCATTAAAGTTTGACTCAGAGTCTACTTCACTTTCAGCATCTGAGAGTAGCACATAGTCTGGGTCCAGAAAGACTTCCAAAACATCTTCTATCAGCCCATTGTCAAAGTGCCTTGATGATGCAGCACACTGCTGTTGTGCTTGCTTCTGTCTTTTGGTAGGGGGAGGCATTCAGAGCAAAAAGAGAATGATTACATAATCAGGCAGAATTTCGAAAATTTAAATTTATGCTCCTTTTGCCCATGTTTCATATCAAAATTTAAATCTAAACACATATGGATCAAAATTACGGCCTAGGGAGAGTTGCTGCTTTTGAGTGCAACACACTGTATTTCAACCCATTTGTCTGTTATGTAAATGATGGACAGTTTCTGAATAAAATCACAAATATGCATAAGGGTCAAACTCTATTGATTAAATTCAAATTAAGTTTGGCAAAAACAGAGAGAATTTGTTTCACAATCTGCATACATTAGTGATACTCAAAATAGGTTTTGAAATCTCACTTAACACGCTTAACACACTTTGAACTCTCAGCTAAAAGTGTTTCAGAGAGTTCAGCTGTTGAAGGTCAGACCGGCATGGTAAGCGGAGCTTGAAATCTTCATGCCTCCTGCTTGTTGTTCTGTACGACTCAGAGTGAACTTTCTTATTCATTTGCCTATAATGGACAACAATGACATAACATCTGATGGACTGCCTCACTCAACAACACCTAGGGAATCAACTGGACCCCAGTTCACTGTTCAGTGGCACAATAATTATGGACTTACTGATGTGCTAGTGAATTATCTGAGTACTCACCCTGCCGATTGCAGGATTTTGTTTTATTCAGATGGAAAAAATTTGATGGCTGCTACTGGTGCTGATAGCCCCTTGGGCTCAGACAAGGGGCAAATTTACGGTGGTCTCGCCAAGACCATCTTTACAGATCACCCCAAGTATGGTGCCACATATTCATCTAATCCCAAAAAATTCTGCGATGCTGTTGGCAGTCGCATCACCACACAAGTCTTTTTTTTTTTTTTCTACTAATAAAAATACTAAATTTTACGCAGTCTCAGGAACAAATACATGAAGGTCAAAGTGTCATTTGGCAGCATGGGCGCTGGGGTGATGCCAACTGAAAGGAGTCAGGCAAAGAACCTGTTGGGTGAGTCCTCAGTCTTGATTACTTAGTTATTGGCTGATCAATTGCTGTAGACACAGCACTTTTGGAGCTGCCATGGTACAAGGATCTTGATACCATCTGGCACTCCAATCCTTCAATGGCTGTGACCATACTCGTCAAAACTGGGTGTTTGATCATGTCAGTGCCCTGTATTCCCTTGTTCAGTCAAATAGTGGGGCCAGTTCCTCTACATACTTTGGCACCACTCAGCAGTCATCCCATCCCCCCAATGTTCAGCCATTGCATCCCCCAAACTTATCATATCCTGTGCCCCTGCACTACACCCCCCCCTGTACCTCCTAACACGAATATACTTGCTGGTGGCCAGTATCCACCAGTGGTGCTGCAACAGCCCCCTCCTGCTTCATCCTATCCCCCTCCTGAAGTCCATCTTCCTGGCTTTCCATCAGATGATGATGATGCCAAAAATAATTTTTCATTTGATAGGCACCTCGGGGATCCTGCCAAGGACAATGACATGATACTCAATGACACTTCCCCAGTTGCAGGAAGAAGCATCAGCTCCCCTCAACGCCATCTCCTCCTCCAAATGTTCCAGAACCATTTGAGGTACCAGCAAAAACTCCAGCATCAGCATACAACAGCCATTCAGCATTTAGGGCGCAGAAGCCCTCAAGCCATGGGAGCCAATGCAGACTGCCATCAGAGATGTCATGCAGCATGTCAACACCATCATCGACTGACACACAACACTACCTCGTCGTTGGACTTCCATATGTCCCCGACACCTGAGACCTCCCTTCCAAATAGCACCAGCAGCTTGAAGAAGAAGAAGGCAAAGTCGGACGTGTTGCAGCAGGTGGGGCAGGTGAGAGACGAGATTGAGAGTATGCACCTCGGACATAATGTTATGCCATGACAGCAAACACCTTCGCTTCCTCGCAAAGCTTGAGATTAAAAGTGAGCATAGTCACGACACTAAAAAGTATGAGTGGCTTTGTTCCAGCCATGAGCATGAAGCCTCCCAAGCCACTGAGATTTGCTGTAGAGACTCATGCCTCTCATGGTCTGATATGGCACTTTTCCCTAGGGAGTACATGGCATGAACTTGTAGTGTCACTCTGTGTGCTATCCGCAGCTATCCTTATATGAGGTGCAGCTTTCCCGCACCATGCACACACTCTTCCCACACTTTACAATGTATATGCGTGTGCACTTTCCTGCGCTTGAGCGCCCTATAGCACCAGCCATCCAGATGCATCCATCCACTGTCCACCAAGCTCTCTAGTGCGTATATTTCCATTTCCCTTATTTGCATATTGTTCCACCTTTATTTTTATCATGGACCCTTACTTACATACATATATCTTTACATACCTTACTCGGTAGCACTTTGGCTCCGCATGACAGCACTTAGGTACCATATATAAGTGCCAGCAGTACATACTATTACAGAACTTCTGACTACCCAACTTTACCTACCACTTACTACCTAGCAGAACATAGTAGAAATCTATTTGTATGCACCTCGCATCTCGCTTCTCTTGTCTTGCATCTAATCATCACTTAAGCAAACTCACTCTTACACTCTCTCGTTTCTGCATACACACACACACATTCCCACGCTTTGCGCAGCACGCACGTGCATTCCCACGCCTTCAGTGCCTTGCAGTGCACCTGTGATTTCTCACGCTTTGCATTGGCCAACCAGTAGTGCCTTCAGCACCTACTTCTAGATCCTTGCTGCACTTGCTTCCCCTTTAGGGTCAAATGCACTTGTTAGCAGACTAGGCAATGCGCGACCTTACAACATCTATAGATACAGTCTGGAGCATTTTTTCGTGCCTCACTGTATTGTTGTTTCTACATCGCCTTCATGAGAAAGACATTCGTGTCCACCAAGCACATTCAGAAGTACTCAACAAGGAAGCGAAAACTCTGCAACTCAAGATTCAATTCCACCAAATGATGCAGGCCAGCAAGGCAGCATTAGGTGTAGTGCTGCCATGGTCCAGTTTGGAGGGTCTTAGATGAGAGCCAAGAACCAGACCATCGGTTCAGTTCTACAAAATGTCCGAACCCAGAACCGGACTATAGAGAATGGTACAGTCAGGTCCGGTCCAGTTATTTTGAGGTTCAAACATGAACCAAACCTGAAATTTTTTTACAGTGAGCAAAAAAAAACATATAGTACTTGTGCTTGTAGCTACACATTCAACACAGCTGCTTCCACCTCAACCATTGCAGAAACACAGCCATTCCTATATGCTGCCTTCAACAACTGCAGCAAGCTGAACATCGATGCTGCAAGTCCATTGCGTCGCACAGTAGAAGTAATTCCTCTGCTCGAGAAAGCCTGTTCAGAGAGGACAGAGCTGCCTTATGTGTGCGAGTGTATGGTATTGTAGTGAGTGAAGCTAGTAAATAGATTTAGTAGTGAAAAAACGAATCAAAAACATTACTTACTCCCCACCATGTGACAATGTCATCAGCTTCCTCCAGTGGCGAAGACAGGTACATGGCGAGTTCTTGACGAGGATTATGAGTGAGTTGGTCCACAGCTTGACGTGCCTTGATGGCCTCACACATCCATGCACCACCGTAACAGTTTTCATGCAAGGGTCTTGTTGGTGGAGCAGACTCTTTGATAGGTGCCAGAGCTGGTGGTTTATAATACTCGTCAAACTATAAATGTAAGTATGAGAAGGATAATGGAACAAGTACTACTTACCACAGCCTTGAGGTGAACCCTCCCATCCACAACGTCTTGAGTGTCCCATTGATCTTCAACATAGGCAAGCTTGTAGTTAGGGTCAAGAACTGTAATTATATGTGAGGCGTCACATGCCATAATAAATGATATTGACACTCACCAAGACAAATGAAATATACATCGGAATCACTCATTTTCTTGTAGTATTTATCGACATTCTTGAGGCCTTGCTTGATTGCATCTGCAATCGGTGCATACTGCATGTTGTTTGCCATCTCTTGCCACTGGTCAGCAAGACATTCCAATGTAGGGATCGTTTGCAATGCAGTTGGGTGTTTCGCTGATGAGAAGGATTGTTGGGCAGTCGCTGGTTCCTTCAGGACTTGATGAACAAGGCCGAGGTGTTTCCAGTCACTCCGATCAAGCTTAAAGTCGTCATAGATCTTGTTGTGAAGATTCGGCACTTCTTTACTCTCATCTGCAAGGTTTGTGAAGCAGTTCACAGCCTGTTCAATCATAAATATCAGACTGACGAATACTGAGAGAGAGAAAAGACTTACCTGACATAAGAGTAGCATGCGATCGAGACACTTATGTAGTGATGCCCAACAGGGTCCTGATACAGTGCAATAACTCGAGCTTGGGGACGTTCTCTTCTTTGCAGGCCTTCTTGAAGAAGGCATGAGCTTGAGGCGATTTTTGAATCTAGTAATATCAATCAGTAAGAGTACATAATCCCATGAATAATAATGCAGTAATGCAGTACTTACCTGCTCAATGAGTGTGAGGGCTTTACCAAGCGAATTGCCAGTGTTGAACACATTATCTTTCTCGCAGTCATCAGTAACTTTGATAGCTGCAAGCTCCTTATTCAAAACATTGAGATCAGCATCATCTCCTGCATCAAGCGTTTGTTCAATCTGTTTGTTCTGCCTTGACTTACAATTGTAATCAATTTATTTGTGTACACTATCATCCTATTATTGCATCAGCTGTGAGGCCATCCATCACTTCCTCCAGCTCCAGATCACCAAGTTCCTCCCAGTACTGAGCTTCATCATCTTTGTTGTCTTGGTCATCCAAACTTTTGGTAAGGTCCCTCCTATTGCTACTTCTCCTCGCCACAAGAAGGATGTCGAGCATATCCCACAATAATGGTGCATGTTGTTACATCCCACCACCTAACACTTCAATATCGAACTCTTCAAGTTGTTCTACAGATGCATGCAAGGCCAAAAAATGGTAGCCAGGTTTCTTCGCTGATAGTTCTTGAATCTCCAGTGCACATCTGTGTTTGATGATATCACTGGCCCACTTCAGCACATCTCCTGCAGAAGCTTCTGGGTGTTCCGCAAGGAGCTTGGTAATGTGCGGACTGCATGATCTTAGATTGATTGTATTCTCGTGGGTGATGTAATTGGGATTAGTTAGCAATACAACAAGGAACTCTGACACTGAGATGCCAATAAGATTGAATGCTTCCAAGATGGCATCAACTTGATCTGTTGTCGTCATTATTTCAGTAGCAGCGAGTGCGAATATAATATTATTAAACCTAGATATAAATGACACATTTTTTGTAGTATTTTTAAGGCTCTGCACGTCGCCGGCAGTGATGTGCCGCTGTGGCTGGCAATGTTTACAGATGTTATCTGCTAGCCACTGCTGAGAGGGTGAAGGATTGAAGTTGTGCTGGGTTTGAAAATTTCTTATACCACATGATTACTCAATATTCTACCGAGGCCCTAGTGGTCCGCCTTCACCCTCGAAGTAGTTATCCCATGTGATGGTACTTCAACACCATTTGCCATTCAAAGGATGCGTGTCGATCGTGTGAGTCTCTTGAGGTTTTGTGATGCCTTTCTGAAGGCCTTCAAATCCATTACATTTACCATTGCACCATCATCGACATTCATGTGAAAACATGTCACTTTTGCACTGGGTCTATATAAGATGACTTTGGCAATGAATGGAGTACTTTCTGATGTGTGATCCAGGTTTGTTTTTTCTAGGACAGCGTAAAGATCAACAAGTGTTTGATCGTTTGCGCATGAATAGCAATCAGAAGGTGAAATTAATTCACAGGTAAATACAGGACTTAGCATGGGGATAGAACTATCAATCAAAGTGCTTTGATTCACTGGGTCATGTACAGCAATCCACAAGCTTTGTATGTGAGTGTCTGATGTAGGGTTATGTGATTTAACATTTGGAGAGGTGATTTCAATTGTTGGTACAATGAATTTGTCAACTGCTTCTTCATCATTCAACATTTCAACATGTCCTATGTCTGGGAGGCTGGGGTATTGAGAACTGAGGTACCAAAACACAATGTGAAGGCTGATGTGGTTTCTGAAAGTGGGATGCTATATGTGATGTCTGGTGAGTCAGGGGACATGGATTTATCTTCAATATCTGCACTCATTTCCCACAACATTGTAGATGTCATTCTGTGAAGTAAGGGTGCTGAAAATATGAGGTTGGAGGTGGAGGTGTTGGGTATTGCATTGGTAACATGTTCACTGTAGGTGCCACAGATTGAATGTTTATGGTTGGTCCTGGTGTGGTCATTGATGCCAGTGTCCTTGAGACTAGGTGCAATACTGTTTCTTGCCATTTGGTTTCCTGGGAGGGTAGTGCTTCGTTAGGACAGTTGTAGGCTTGGTGTGATGGCATTATTGTCATGCCACAGCTGAAGCACTCTCTAGAGCCAATGGTAAGGTCATTGAGAGTTGGAGATGGTGTCTGAACCATGCTGTGCATGCCATTCCTGAACTTGCTCAGTATAAGCTTGTCTCCCTGCTTCTGAGTTGGGGTGGTGCAGAATGGTGGCATATTGAGCTGCAGTTCTTAATCATTCTAAAGGTGAGCCTCCTCATCTGGTTGGCATCTGTGGATACCCTCTGTAGCCAAAAAAATAGATTGCTTCGTGTTGCTGGTGCCATGGAAATAAATAAGCTAGCGATTTGTGGTATTTGGGGAACTTGGGGCAATGTGTGGTACAAAGGTGTTTGTGATACAGGTGGGGGTAGGGTTGGTTGTGACTGTGGGGTTGCTGAAGGTATTCTGCCATGGCGCTGTCCGTATCTGTAGGGAGGTGATGCAACATATGGAACTTGCATGGAGGAAGGCATTGCTTTGTGACTGTTCATTATTTGGCTCTGGAGTTTATCAACATCTTCATAAAGCTTCCACTCCATGGTAAGTCACTATTTTACTCTTAGCAATTGCAATGCAGAAACTTTTGCAACATCCATCTCAAATTCTGTCCAGGTGGTGTAGTTGTCTGACAGAAAGTCACACAAAACCTCAGGGGTGTTCTCCAGTACCACATCTAGTAAGTGGCATTGTGCATTGTTGAAGCCTTGGGCCATTCATGTGACCTTTTTTGCCCACTTCACATGTCCCCATTCTCTTTCTCTATCCTCTTCTATCATCATGCCAATCTCCTCTTCTTTCAGCACCAATGCTTTGATTCGGTCCTTCTCCTGTGTGACTGTTAGTACTACTTGTGCAGGTGGGGGCCAGCAAAGTTTGAACACTGCTAAAAATGTGGCTCACAATGTTTTATCTGATGCTGGTAGAATTGTGAACCAACTTTCAGTAGGACTGGCAGTGGCACATTGTAGCTTAAACTGGTTGATTTTCTCAGAGTCTGTTGATGTTGAAGGAAAAGAGAGCTCGTACTTCCAAATCCAGTCAGTAGGTTCCTCACTCTTTTCATAATCTCTGTAAAAGATAAGCTGGGGTGTGATGGTCATTGACATGCTTATGTTGGGTGTGGAAGAATTTGGAACGAATGGGACAAGTGATTTCAGGGCTTTCGATAGGATGAGGTGCTGTTGCACACATTATAGGTCAGTAGTTGTAATGCTAGTACTAGGTGTCTGCAATGGGAGAATTGTCAAGTCATGAACAGAATTTGGAACTTTGGGAGGTGATAGCTGGCTGTCTGATACTATGTGTCTGAGCATGGGTTTGTTGTCATACAATCTGGATATGTTATGGAGTCAGCAGAGGTCACCATGATATGCACTCACTCTAGTCACCAGGTGGAGAGGCTACGCCTTGACACTAGGTGCCAAACAGGTGATGGTTGGAGTGTGTGTCTACCCTGGAAAACTGCTTCTCTAAAAGCTCTGCCAACTGGGTTCAAGACCCTAGGACCCTGAATCCTAATTAAGAATAGCCCCTAGGAATGCCCCTAGGAAGCCCCTGGTGCCAAACATCCTAACGCAGTGCACTAGGCACCGCTGTAGAGACTAATATCTCTGTGGCCTTGCAGGGATCTAAAATCCCATTGTTACTATCACTTCCTCACATAGCGCGACTCATACCTCACGCAGCGCGCCCCCGCGCTTTGTCGGCCGCTCGCAAGCGCCAGCGCTCCGGTCACTCCTTAGTTGCGCATCGGCGCGCACATCCTCGGTTCCGTCGCACATCCTCCGTCCATCCATTCCATGTCTGTTCGGTTCGTCGGTGCGTATTCCGATTCTATTTTCATTGATTCTAACATATCTCCGGCGCTTATGGCCATATTTGGTATGTCTTTCGTTATGAACCCTTTATTACATATTATCTCGCGTCCACTTCGCTTCTCGGTTCGCTTTAGCGCTTGACAGCGCTTATCATTACTTAGTATATATAGACGCGCATAAATTGTGTAATAGGTATCTTTTTCTGCCCACACATCGTTGGACTATAAGTCTAAGTTAACCTCTAAAAACTCAAAAGGTATCGAAGTACAATATGAGCGCCGCCGCCGTACACTACTAGAAACTCTGTCCATTAGTATTCTGACTCATTAAGAGTCGCTGCGCTCCACCACCCGCGCGCGCACCGCTTCTGCTTAAAGCGCACGCTTCCGTTATAAGTCGCGTGTCGATATCTATCGTCAGCCGCTATCGCTCATCGTCGTGCGCCTAACCAGGCTTGACCAAGCGCCCGGTTCAGTGTTTCCCTCCGTTTTATACACCTAGAGGAACCTTCTCAGTAGCAATCCCCTTGGGCCGACGTATATCTCGCTCACCGAGGACTACTTGAGTTATCTCATACCACTTATATTCACCCACCTCCCATTCCTCTTCTACACTGCTCTATTTGAAGACTCTATAAGTACAAGATGCTTTGGTGCCAACAAGCGAATTTAATTTAAAGGATATTCTAAAATCCTATCTACTCCTTTAGCATTTTGCCGATCCTCTTCTCCCAGGAACCCCAGTCGCGTGTCAAACTGTAGAGTCAGTTGCTCATATGGAGGAGCTCTGGTTTTGGAGGAGGATATGTCTTAATGCTTATGCACATATGGTTCAACACTGCCTCCTAGGATCGTCAGATCCAATCAGCGGCGGACTTCTGCAGCTCCTTTGGAGTCGCATCATTGACGGACGTGTTGCCTTCATCTTGAGGGCACTCCTCAGGTTCAGGAGAGGAGGAAGGGGATGCAGTAAGCATACGTAGATGGATTGAAAGGCACAAAAGACATGATGGTAGAGATGAAGAAAGATAATCGCAAAGACATGATGATGTATTGAATTGAAGAAGAAGAAGTGCGACACAAGGCCAGTTCTTTTATGCTGAAATGAACCACATTATATCAGCACAATGGTGCCTGCTGCCCACGATTCACATGACTTCGGTGGACCATTCCACATATGTTTTTGGTGTGTTCTGCCCACAATCACGTGACTTTCCTTGTCAAAAATTGGCTAAGTCCATCCGCTCCTATATACACTGACTGGGGACAGTCAGAAGCTAAGTTCCTATGAGATGTAGAGACTAATATCTCTGTTGGCTTGTAGAGATCTAAATTCCCAATATCTCAATCATGTTCCAACTATAGCACAACTCATATCTCACCTCAGCACACTTAGCACTTCATTGGCTGCTCGCATGCACAAGCACTTCAGTCATGCATCTTTGGTTTCATCGCTCATCCTCCATCCGTCCATTCCATGTCCATTCAGTTTGTCGGTACATATTCCTATCATATTTCTATTTATTCTGACACATCTCTGGTACTTATGCTCATATTCCATGTGTTTTGTCATGGACCCTTATATTACATGTTATCACATATTTGCTCCGCTTCTCGGTTCACTTTAGCACCTGACAGTGCTTAACACTACATAAATAGAATATATATACTCGCACTTTACTACATAATGGACATCTCTCTTCCTGCACATCATTGGACTCTAAGTCTAACTTTTCTGTCATATATGCCAACCAACATTAAGTATCTAAGTACAATATGAGTGCCTACCATCATACATTACTAGAACCTCTGTCAGTTTGTTTTCCGACTCATTAAGAGTCACTTCGCTTCACCACCTGCATGCACACATTGCCTCCACTCAGCATGTGTCGTCACACATCATCGCTCAGTAGCACTTCACATTGCTCTCACCCACTTGTACTTCGCTCATTGGTGTGTGCCTTACCAGGCTTGACTAAGTGCCCAGTTCAGTGTTTCCCTCCTTTTATATACTTAGAGGAATCTATTCAGTAGCAAT